CCCCCTAGTATAAAATAAAAGTTTAAGCCCCCTTGGACAAGTTTCTGAATACACTCCTGGTGGCAATATTTCATGTAAAGCTCCCTGTGAAGATAGAATAGACTGTGCCGTGCTGGAAATAGATCTGGAAAATAGATTTAGGCAAATATACATCAAAAATAAGATAAAACAAAAAATCAAACAAAAAGATCAAACAAATCAACTCATTTAAAGATCAAACAAATCAATTCATTCCAAGTTCAAACAAATCAATTCCAAGATCAAACAAATCAATTCATTCAAAGATCAAACAAATATAAGGCATTCCAAGATCAAACAAATCAATTCCAAGATCAAATAAATCAATTCCAAGATCAAGCAAATCAATTCCAAGATCAAACAAATCGATTCCAAGATCAAATAAATCAATTCAAAGATAAAGCTAATCAATTCATGCAAAGATCAACCAAATCAATTCATTCCAAGATCAAACAAATCAATTCCAAGATCAAACAAATCAATTCATTCAAAGATCAAACAAATATAAGGCATTCCAAGAACAAACAAATCAATTCCAAGATCAAATAAATCAATTCCAAGATCAAACAAATCAATTCCAAGATCAAACAAATCGGTTCCAAGATCAAATAAATCAATTCAAAGATAAAGCTAATCAATTCATGCAAAGATCAAACAAATCAATTCCAAGATCAAACAAATCAATGCATTCAAAGATCAAATAATTTTTAGGCATTGATAAACCGATGTTTGGTAAGTGTCTGAAATACAGAAATCTATCCTCTGTTAAAAAGCTAGAATTGAATTTAAAGGGACTATTTATTAAATTTGAAAAAAAACAAGTCAGATTTACAACAGTGTCCTTTAAACCTTTTTCTGATCAATATTGTGGTTTTTAGTCGTTATCTCATTCACCCTTGATCAGACAAATTTTTATGGAATATAAATGTCGTCTTCGTTATATCAGCGCCGATTTTAGGTGTTAGTTTGCCTCTTGCAGGGTGGCCTTCTGTATACCCTACTTACTTATACTTGGTAGCGGCAAGAGAGAGAGTGTAGTCCAGAAAAACTGAATACGGTAGATGTGTTTCTCCAATATTCTGGTCTCTGCTTGGATCTCCAAATTCGGTTCCAGACTAGTCAAAAAAAACACATTTAATTGGGCGCAGATAGATAGATAGATAAATAGAAGATATATTAACTTCCTCTGCGCCATCTTGCACATTAAATATAATTGGATAAAAAACTAAATATTTACAAACAAGAATGTTATTTCCTTAAAATATAATTCTTTTGCAAAAGATCAAAAAGAGGAATATCTTTCACTCTTTGTAGTTTTAGCGCAATTATAAAATTTACTGTACAGTACATACAGATAAACTATCTGTTTTAAACAAATGTGCATGCATGCAAAGGTGCAGAAAACTACATGTAAACAAAGATGCAGTACAGTACATGTAGACAAAGGTGCAGTACAGTGTATGTAATTACAAGTGCAGTTTAGTATACATGCAAACAAAGGTACAGTACAGAACATGTGATACAAGTGCGGTACAGTACATGTAAACAAAGATACAGTACAGTACATGTAAACATGGGTGCAGTACAATACATGTAAGCAACTGTGCAGTGCAAGACATGTAAACAAAGGTGAAGTACAGTATCAGTAAAACAAGGTGCAGTACAGTACATGTAAACAAAGGTGGATTACAGTACAAGGAAACAAGGGTGCTGTACAGTACATGTAAAAAAAGGTAAATTACATCACATGTAAATGATGGAGAAAAAATTTTATATTCATTAACAACAACAACAAGCTCTAAACACATGGACACGGTATCTCGAGAGTTTTTAATATACAAATTATGCTGAATTATAAAAAGCTTAGAAAGGACTGTAGCAGTACCCATTAAAGCTTTCTCTGATCAGGATGCATGAATCATCCTTGTTAATCTCATTCAAAATTGATTCATTTCAATTGTGGTTTCTGCACAGAACTTTTAAAAAAACTGTTCGTCGATCCAGTTTTGATTTACCGGTATAAAAGTTGTGATTCCGTTTTTAGTTAAATGATATTCTCGATCAAACACCACTAACCCAACCTGACTTCCCCTTGCAGAGATCGTACAAATTTAACTAAAAATATTATTTTTTCAATTCCTGACCGAAATTGTTTTGTTCATTTTATTTCTAAATTGTAATAAACGTTTCATCTGCTGACTGAAACAACAGATGAAATGTTACTAACGACTTTACAATCTCTTTCCAAAATGTTATACTTTAAAAATGTCTCATTGGTATCAAATGAATCCTAAAGTTTGTCTCTACAATACTGCATTTTCAGCTCAACTACAGTTAAGTTCAAATATAAAGAGACACCGGAAGAATTTATAAAATGTCGTATTCCTTACTTTATGATAATGGAATGCTGCAGATATTAAAAACTTCCCGCATAATTATGGCTATTTATTAAGTTTTGCCATTTCTGAGATTTACGGATAATAGTATAAAACCCATTAAAAAAAATCAAGACGACATTTCATAAATTCTTCCAATTTCTCAAAATCTCTGGGGTAAACTGTATCATGCCCAAGGTACTAGTTATTTCAGAGGTGTACGCATTTTTTGTACTGCAGTGTACTGTCTTTGGGCGCAAAAGTAAACACAAGACGGATGTCACTGGAATCCATTTTCACAAAAATAATCTATGAAATATTTTGGTCATAGGAAACTGATATGTGATTGTGAGTTTTCAAAAATATCAAAATTAAATGCTTTTATCCTTCTAGGATACTCGACGAAGACTGATGCATCTATTCTTGTTTACAAATTAGTACTTTGGACATGCCTAGGCGGTCTCTCCCTTTAAACCAATTACCTCTCTCGTTCTTATACATGCTAAAATATAATATTTCTATCCGATTTATAGAATTTATTCATGGTCAATTCTGGAACTTTTTGAATTGGAGGAAACCATGCAAACCCCATAGAATTGGCTGAACTCATTCTAATGTACAGCATGGTTGGCGATTATAACAGTAAACAGTACAATGATAAGGACTTTTCATTTTTAATGCTTTGATCCCTAACAATCATTTTTCAAATTACAAGTTTACAAGTAAACAAAGAGAGCCGTACTCATTGAGAACTTTAATGTTTAAGTGTTTAATATTTTTAATATTACTCACCTTAACATTAAAAACCTCATTTTCTCCTTCCATTCTTTAATTGAACTAGATCAATTACATTTAACTAACATTTTTAATAATATCTGGAAAATATTTTAATCCATATTTGATGAATTGTTATAGAATAAACAGAAAATTTCAATGTTTCATGTTCATTGGACTATTCACAATGGTACCATTTAAAGCTTGTCTTATCATGAATGAATGAGAAATCCAAAATTTATCTGTGACACATTGGTTATTATCAAATGTGATTACTCGAGAAAATTGTTTTTCGTTTCCTTTTTTTCTGAAAACTATCGTTTCGTGTTTGGAAAAAACGATCGCTTTTAAAAAACGAACCAGTCGGTTTGAAATTTCAAAAAACGAAAAACAATCGATTTCTGGTTTTTAAACGATCATTTTTTTCAAACGTAAAACGATTGCTTTAAAAAAAACCGTATTTTTTAACAAAGGGTCGTCGTCCACGTTCGTTAACGAAGGGTCGTTTACAAAAGCAATGGAGAAAATTGTTAGAATACAAATGGTTTCAAGCTCACATGTGGACTAGGGTCAATTCCAATTTGAACCGGACCGAATCCTTGTACCTACCTAAGTAACGGAAGTATTGGTGTGACACTATCCTATACTGACTCTGCTTCAACTTTGATGGCGCGGCCAGACTTTTTACAGTACCCGGCCTATCATATCACCCTGGACTAACCAGATTGAGCAGCATTCGGTTTCTTCTATTTGAGATCAAACATATTTTGGTCTATAATTCAACAATCTTTTACCTTACAGATTTGTTTATTCTATACCTTTTCATTCAAAATGTATATGCCGACAAAAAAGTAGTTAAGAAAAAAGGCTAAAAAATTATATTTAATGGATCAAATTGTGATCAAAAGTCACAGCATTCTTCAATATTGACATGAACCGTTAAATCCACGTGATAGGCCTATTTGACTTACCCGACTATAGCTTAGTTTAATGTGAACCAGAAAAACGCTTTTTACCAGGTAAAGGGATAAAGATACCGACGTGACTAGTGAATGGCCCTGTATATATGGAGGCCCACTTGAAATTACAACAACAAGGTTGACAATAAAAAGGGGAAGAAATAGAACCAACGATGTTGGGATTTAAGGTCTACTTAAAAATTTGCCCAATTTTCTTTCATTTTAGAGATACAGAATTTCCTCCAAAATGTGTTTGAATACATTCACACAGTAAAATTGTTTCAATTTCAATTTTGGAGAATTTCTAATTTTGTTGAGTTAATGAAATGTCGGCGTAATAGAGAAAAATGTCAAATTCACACACACAGGTATCCTGTGAACCTTTAACTGATCAAGGATGAATGTGATGTCCTAATTTTTTTCATCTAATTCACTATTTTTAATAGCGGTTTTAATACAAAAGTGACTTGCGGATTTCCACTGCAGATTCAATAATTAGGAACTTGCCAGAATCTAGGTTATAAGATGCCAGCGGAATGGAAAAATCGTGCCGCAAATATTCTGCCTTTTTGGGGAACATTTTGCTTCGTGAAAAATTAGCGTTTATTCGCAATCTTTTGTATTTCAAATTTCATGGAATTCCCCCTTAATCTGTTTCGAAAAAAAAATGCGGAATTTTCGGGGAACAAAATATTCGCAAATTTCACGAAATGAGTGGAAAACTCTAGTTACCTGAGAAAGAAAACATTCTTAAAAACTTTATTTATTTGTAATTGTTTTCAAGAATTCAAGAATTGTTCTGTCTGACTCCAGGGTACAGAGAAGACTGTTAGAGGCTGTTTTATTCTTACCAATCCTTACTAGCTTTTTATCCATCTTTACTCTTCTATCCTAGCTCTTACTCTTCCATCCTAGCTTTTCATCCGTCCTTACTCTTCCATCCAAGCTCGTTAACCATCCCAGCTCTTCATCCGTTCTTACTCTTCCATCCTAGCTCTTTAACCATCCTTACTCTTCCATCCTAGCTCTTAATCCATCCTTACTCTTCCATCCTAACTCTTTCTCCATCCTTACTCTTCCATCCTAGCTCTTTACCCATCCTTACTCTTCCATCCTAGCTCTTCGTCCGTCCTTACGCCTCCATCCTAGCTCTTTATCCATCCTTACTCTTCCATCCTAGCTCTTCGTCCGTCCTTACTGTTCCATCCTAGCTCTTTATCCATCCTTACTCTTCCATCCTAGCTCTTTATCCATCCTTACTCCTCCATCCTAGCTCTTTATCCATCCTTACTCTGCCATCCTAGCTCTTTATCCATCCTTACTGTTCCATCCTAGCTCTTCGTCCGTCCTTACTCTTCCATCCTAGCTCTTTATCCGTCCTTACTCTTCCATCCTAGCTCTTCGTCCCTCCTTACTCTTCCATCCTAGCTCTTTAACCATCTTTACTCTTTCATCCTAGCTCTTCATCCGTCCTTACTCCTCCATCCTAGCTCTTTATCCATCCTTACTCTGCCATCCTAGCTCTTTATCCATCCTTACTGTTCCATCCTAGCTCTTCGTCCGTCCTTACTCTTCCATCCTAGCTCTTTATCCGTCCTTACTCTTCCATCCTAGCTCTTCGTCCGTCCTTACTCTTCCGTCCTAGCTCTTTATCCATCCTTACTCTTCCATCCTAGCTCTTTATCCATCCTTATTCTTCCATCTTAGCTCTTTAGCCATCCTTACTTTTTCATCCTAACTCTTCATCCCGGCCTTACTCTTCCATCCTAGCTCTTTATCCATTCATTCATTACTCTTCCATCCTAGCTCTTTATCCATCCATTCCTTACTCTTCCTTCCTAGCTTTTTATCCATCTTTACTCTTCTATCCTAGCTCTTCATCCATTCTTACTCTTCTATCCTAGCTCTTCATCCGTCCTTACTCTTCCATCCTAACTCTTCCATCCTAGCTCCTTATCTATCCTTAATTTTTCATCCTAACTCTTCTATCCTAGCTATTGGACCAATTCATTCCTTTCAAGACTTTGCTTAATTACACATGATAAAAATTGTAAGAATGGTAAGTTTTAAAAAGTTATATTCATCATCATCCATTTAGTTCTTAAACCCCATTTTGTCTGCATCTATCTATTCTATCTATTAGCTTGCAAAAAGTATCTATTATCAATTATCAATTATCTATTATCTATTATGTATTATCTAATATCTATTCTATCTATTATCTATTCTATCTATTATCTACTCTATCTACTATCTATTCTGTCTATTATCTAGTATATAGTATCTATTATCAATTATCTATTTGTTATTATTTATTATCTATTATCTATTATCTATTATCTATTATCTTTTATCTAGTATTTGATATCTATTAAATTATCTCTTATCTATTATGTGTTATCTATTATCCAGTATATAGTATCTTTTATCTAATATCTATTATCAATTATCTATTATCCAGCATATAGTATCTATTAAATTATCTATTATCTATTATCTATTATCAAGTATATATTATTTATTAAATTATTTAGTGTATAGTAACTATCCATCTAATATATCTATTATCTATTTAAGTAATGTTTTTAATTAATGTTGGGGGCTGTTTCCCCCCAAAGGTTTCTTCAATGAGAAAAATTCTTCATCTTCAAAAATCTAATAAATTTTAAAATTGTTAGATCTTGCATTCTTTCCCCGTTGATATTGTTGTTACCATGGGACTGTCCTCGCAATATCAAGTGAACCTCCCTTTTTAGAGTGGCATGTCCTGTTCACAACAGTACCTTTAATCCATTATCTGATCAATAAGGTGGAAGAAATTGTCATTGTTTTTATCTTGAAGATTTGTTATGCTAACAGTTTCCTCCATTGTTTCTGGAGCATATATAAAACATGGATATCTCATTCATTCTTGATTATTTTAAGGCTGTTGTTGTGAATCGGACATACCATTTATAAATAAAGGGTTACTTATTTAGT